ATTCATAGGCGTGCATTGTACGCGCGGAACCGCGCTTTATGGATCTGCTGAAAATAGAAGCAGTGGGAGGATAGCGTGATCCCCGAGAAAAAATAGACACGGTTAGATGTAATAACAATTTACTGTTATAAAAACAATGAAAGAAAACACACATATGATATTTCAAATGTGAATATTATTTTTTATGCGTGCGCGTGTAAAGCACTAGTCGTTTTTTTTACAAAAGTTTTCTTTATAGAAGCATGGTTCTTAGATTTTAATTGGATTTAATGAAAGGATATAAAACATTGTTAGAAAGTAAATTATTTTTATAATTATTTTAATTTGTTTTAAAAATGAACAAGACTTAGAGACTTTTCAAATTGAAATAAATCTTTATTAACTCTATTCTAATTTAGCGCGGATATCAGTGCACAATTAATTATACACGGAAAAAAGCGGTTTTGCTGAAATAAAAGCTAGATATGAATTTGACAATAATTTTGTTAAATTATTAACTCTTAGTATACACGCGATGATTTTTCGGTTTCTTACTTCACTTGATGAGTCATTCATGTTCCAGATTTATTTTTCATCATTTTAACAAATATACAAAAATTATTTTTGCATATACTTTAACATTTTCAGAAAGTATATTTGTAAGGTTGTATATTTAAAAATAATGTATATAAATAATGTATATAATGTATATAAATATTACAAAATAATATATATAAATATTATAACTAATTATTTGAGAGTCCTAGTTTATCAAAGAAAAGAAATGTGCATGAAGCACCTGAATGACCTAGTCGTGTATACTAATTATACTGAGAGTTAAGATAATGTGAAATGCTTAAATGTTGATGACAAGGCTGTAAGTTTTAACATTCTAGTAAACAGTTTGAATGTTTCATATAATTATTTATAACTATAATCATTAGTAAATATATTATCATTATCAAATGTCGTCCGCACTAAATTATTATTAATCCTACTCTAATTTTGTATTAATTTGTTTTATGAGAAAATTGCGATTTCAGTTAAAAAAGAAACGTCCAAATGTGAGATTAGAAAATGTGGCGTAGATCGAATATTCTGCCAAGCTCTTCCTCGAGTCAACCCTGGCAGAAACGAACGGCGGACGTAAATTTTGGTACAACCTTCCGCGAGAAAGGCGGATAATTAATTCTACATGAAGCAATGCCGCATACGGGATGCGCGTAAGCCTCGAAGACGTCGCGAATTAAAAATCTGCACGCAGCGTAACCCATCTGGGAATTAATGGGATAATTGTGAACGCACGATGGGGAATTCAGTCACTGTCTGACTACATCGAAGTACGCTCCGCGTCATTAGAATGCATGCGTTGTGAATAATAGCATCTTATAGCCGTAAGAAATTATTAGGAAATTCCTTTATGACTATACTCGTCTATATTTTTCCTAAATTTTAAAAGTATGAAAATTTACTAATTTTATATTTTCTTTCTATTTTTTTTGCAAAACTTTTACAAAAACTTAATTAACAAAACATTTAATGAACAAACATTCTCTATGCTAAAATATATAAACTGTATTTAAACTTTCATTCTGAAAATATTTGATCAAAAACAAAATATTTAAAATGTTTACATATTTTTTATTCATTTTTAATTAAATATGACTAAAAGTAATCTGCAAATGCAGTCTTTATACGTGTATAGATCAATAAATAATTTCATCTGCTCGTTGTTAGTGGCGATTTTAAGTACTCGTTTGTAGAAAATTAATGATCCACACTTTTATTAAAACACGGGAATGTTTTTTGGGCACACTGAATATCATTACGTTAATCCAATCAAGACGTCGGTAGACAGTTGCGACTGCAATGTTATAATGATCCTTCGCGCAGCCGGAGAGATACGTATCGTATCGACCTCTCCTTCTCATTCCAAGCTGTTTCTACATCGTGCAACGTGCAATCTGGCGGCCGGTGATGGCCAGTGACGGTGGCAATGGTGTGGCGTTTGCACAATAGATTCGGTTTGATACATCGCCGTACGGCACAGGAGACCGTTAATTTCGTGGCCTCCTGCCCCACAATGCCCTATACACACCCGCATCACCCATTCTGCGTTTAGACTGCTATCAACTGCTATTCTCCATCAAATGTCGTTCATATTAATAACTCAGTCAACCTATTAAATAATAGCATTTAACGCTATGCAGTCCGTCATTACACAGATTTAAGTGCTGTCGATCGATTCTAAGCATAATAACTTGTATTTTAATTTATGTCGCTACCGAGCGATTTCTTTGCCAGTGAGAAATAAATGAATCAACTGTTCAACATTTAAGTTCCTATAATAAAAGTTAAGATAAACTGCTAAATAGCTCATAAGTTAAATTAACATATGCAACCAACATATTGGTGTATTGGTTAATGATGTATATATATATACATCTTTGATTGTTATACAATCAATAAAAAAATCGTTATCTCATTGTTTTAATTTTTACAGCAAGTAATTTTACGCTTATGAAAACAAGAATTGGATGTTTCGACTGTATAATATCGGTTAAAAATATTAATCAAAGAATCAGTTAGAAAACCAGTATCAGCCAATATATAATTTTAAAATATTTTAAAACAAATTGTAAAAAGCAAAACAAACAAATAATTGAGCTTATAAAGGTTTTATGTAGGAATTTTAAGAATCAAGACTAACAGAACAATTAAATAACTTTTAAATCGATAAGAGAATTGAGAATTGATCAAATTTTACACAAATATTTAGATGCAATAATAGAACAATCTATGAAACTTTTATATTTTTGGTAATATACTTTGAATGTGAAACATACACCTTTAAGATATAAAATTTATAAGGGATTTTACTATGTATTCAAATATTGTATACATTTGATAGAACAATTTACAATAATTTTATGCATACAATTATATTCTTGACAAAAGTGTAATTTTTATTTTCGCAAATATGTTTCAAGCGTTTTAACAAATTATTTTGCATTTTTTATTGTATACATTTGGTGTAATGGACAATTTTAATTTCACAGGTACATTTGTCGAGCTTTTATAAAATTAAAATAGAAAGCATCATAAGCGTAGTATATAGAATAATAATATATAGAAAGTCACACTTTCGTAAGAAAAATAACACAAGTAAAAAATATAAAATTATTCAGAAGAAAAGAAAAAAAATGACATTTTTAAATTATTTATGGCAGCATTAAACATAAGTTAATTAGAGCTAATCACAAATTGCTCGTTTCAAGCTAATCTAGAAGTAATGTATCTTTTGTCAAATCTTCTTTCTCTATATTGATTCACACGAACATTTTCTCTGTCGATAATCGCGCAATTATTTACGCTTGTACACAGAATGTTCAACGCGTGTTTTGAAAAAACTATAAACAAAGTAACGTCTTCATTCTTGTATCCGTTATTAATTTATTATATTAATTAGTAAAAAAATTAATTAGTAAAAAATATATCATAAATTCCTCGAACGTTTCGGCTTCATTTAGAACCATCTTTGATAAAATAATATGAAGGAAAAGGCAAATTTCACATTTAACAATAATGATGATCAACAGTCAACTGTAATATAATCTTAACAGTAGAAAACTCAAGATGTGAAATTTAGTCAAGTTGACTTGGCATCCTATTCATTACCATTATTACTGCAAATACGTTGCATCGATAGAAGAATATGTTGCTCGTGTTACGATAATATAAAATTCAGGCACGTTTTGATGTACTTTAAGCAAATCGGAGACCTCGTTTCAGTAGTACACGAATGTTCTTTTCTCAGGAAGAGACACGTGCTTCGACTTTGAAGTTATTCTACACATACTAAGAATTTCATGCGTGCACAAGTGACCTGTCATCGTTCACCGAATGTTCTTACAAACTACATGCCAACTATGATTATAATCATGGACCGCCTATTTTCTAAAGTGACGGCCACATAAAATCGACAAATTGTGATATTATGGTCTCATAAATTAGTACTAGGTACTTTTATTGATTTATAAAAATATGATTATATTAGATAATACAATATTAAAAAAAATGAAATAAATATAACAGATATAACAAATATATAAGGAAATTAAGGATAACGGCGCTGTAATTAATAAGTAAAGATGTATTTATTTTATCTTTTGTAAGTTAGACGAAAAATTGAATATTTTAACTCTACTTATTAAAAAAAAAATTATTATACCAATTCTTATATTTATGTAAGATTTTGATTTGACTTGCTATAATTTCTTAAGGGCACACCATGTGTCTAGTCAAGGCTACATATTCATCTTTGTGTTCGATCTTCGGGTTCTGCCTACTCGAATCATCGGTCGAAAATATCTTTCGCCGCTTCGAACGTCCCAATTATCGTGCAACACAGTAATAATCGGCGCTCGCTTTCTACGAGGTGTTCACGAATCCAGGCTTGATCGATGCTCATGTTAATCCTGTCTTCAATTTCTGTCTCAGGAACAATGCCAACGTTGTCGTCCCGCCCACTGTATCGGCTGTGTCGAAGAAAGAGCCGCAAGAGAACATTGCCCGGATTGCGAAACGGTACCTCGACGATAACATGCAGCAGGCGTGGATCAATCCTCGTCTAATATCGATGGTGAGTGAATATAAATGCAATGATTATGCGCCGGACCCGCGCACGTGCGCGCCCATCCGTGCCCATTATACTTCTTGGTCCGCGCGAAGCTCGTATAATACATACACTTGGGGGATACGCGCGTGTACTTTCCGAGCCGGCCAACAAATTAGTTTGCGGCGGACTTCCACATTGCGAAAGTTTCGTGATTAATTTATTGGGCGGGAATGCGCGCACACACTACATCTACGCCGCCGCCCTGCACGGAAGTCGAAACGCGGCGAGTTTCTAACTTGCCCGGACTATTTCTGTGATTTCTGGCTAGAGAGCTTGAGATTGCGCACGATATACAGTGCGGGATCTTTCAGAACATCACCGATAGTACTGGGATTTTCACGGCACTACTGTTCGCCGGAGGAAAATGCTTTTACGATATCCCGTATAACTCGTCAGCCGATCTGGAATATCGCTGCGGCAAGCTGACGACAAATTTTTATGACGCTTTGAAATGGCTTACAACGGATTCCAATATTGAACGACTTCTCGATTTTGTGACAAATAGTATTCGAAAGTCGACACGTTTCTTTTACGATTGAATTCGAAATGTTGATGAATGAATGAACGAAATCCGATGAACGATGATTTTAATTTTGATTCTTAATTTTTAACGCAAAAATGATTATATTGAAGTAGTTTAATTCTCCAAAGCTGATTTATAATTAAGTCTATTAGACCCACTCAACTCTAAATTCTTTTGCCAAAAAAGAAATTCAACAACAAATCAATTTTTTTTATGTTATTTTGCAAATTTAGATTATTCTTGAAATGTACTTGTTGTTAGTTATTTATTCTTTTTTATATACGAGCCATGCCATGTTAGTTTCTTGAAATCAATTAATATTTTTTTACATAAATTAAAACCTTACTAAAGTCTTGCAGTATCGATAAATATGTTATAAATTTTGGCATCAGCTCCGAACGGTTAAAGTTTAGATTTTTCAAACTTGAAACGAGACGAGTTTTTATGTGTTCAACAACCTTACGCTAGTAAGCAAACGTATTAATTTTAAAGTTTATTTTTTATATAAAAGAAGACAAGTCAAAAGAGAATGTCTGAATCAACCATCCAGAGCTTGCTTCGTTGAATATCAAATGGATCTTATGCTCCATTAAGATGTATAAGTAGTGAATATTGCTGACGTTTCGAATATTGCGGAAATAAATCATACGTGTGCGCAGCGCCAGGTCAAGTATCTCATTAGAGTTGCAATCGAGTCATTCAAATGTTTCGTGCATCTTTAAAGTCCAAGGCTCATAATCAACTTGGCATATCTCATTTGCATACGACCTAGATATTTTTGCGAAATACAATGCGAATGAATTGCAAAGTAAAACTCGAGTGATCTAATTATCATTAAAGTGCTCTCTTTTGCAAGTTAAATTTTACATTGCTTTTCGATGCTTTGATATTTCATTAAAAACATAGGGAATTAATTAAAAAAAATCGTGCATGAGAGAGAGAGAGAGAGAGAGAGAGAGAGAGAGAGAGAGAGAGAGAGAGAGAGAGAGA